CTCTCTCTTTCTCTCTCTCTCTCTCTCTCTCTCTCTCTGACTGCTTTTACTCCGTTGTTCCCTGTCTTCCTCCCCCTACCCCTACCCCACTACTCACATCCCTCTCACTACCCGTTCTTCCTCTCCCTCCCCACCTTTTCCGTCCCTTCATCCCACCCCCACCCTCTCACCCTATCCCAGGTTACCCCTAAACTACCGGTGGGTGCGTGAGGACGCAGCCTTGAACCCTCGTGCCAAGGTCACTGACCACGGCCGCGTCCTGGTCATCCCTGATGCGCGTCTGGAGGACACGGGAGTTTACACGTGCGTGGTGCAGGGAGTGAGTGATACAAGGAACAAGTCACGACAGCTCACCATGAATGGTATGTGTGTCCGGGTGAGGAAGTGACAAGAGAGAGCGAGGAGGAGGAGGGGGAGGAGAGAGAGAGAGAGAGAGAGAGAGAGAGAGAGAGAGAGAGAGAGAGAGACAGACAGACAGACAGACAGACAGACAGACAGACAGACAGATAGACAGACAGACAGACAGACAGACAGACAGAGAAAGAATAAAATAGAAACAGAGATCGAGAGCAAGAGTAAACAAGAAAAATCTATTTTTTAAAAAGCGAGAAAAGAGGGAGGGAGAGAGGGGGTTATGTGGGAAGGAAGATTGAGGGCAAGAGAGAGAGGGCTCTCCAGTCAATGAGGGGTGAGTGACCAGTACCTAATTAGGTGAGAAAGAGAGAGAGAAAGGGAGGGAGAGGTGGAGGGGGCACGGGAGTTTACTCGTGTGTGATGCAGGGACAAGTCTTGTCAGTTCACTATGAATGGTACGTGGGGAGGAGAGGAAGAGAGGAGGGGGGGAAGAGAAAGGGAGGGGAGAGGGGGAGAGATAGAGGGAGGTAGAGAGAGAAGGGAGTATTGAGAGAGGGAGGAGGTAGGTTATAAGGGGGGGAGGAGGAGTGTGAGGGGGATTGAGAGGGAGAAAGGGGGGAGAGGAGGTAATGAGAGAGAGAATGGCTTTGACAGAGATAAAAAAGGAAAGAGGGAAAAAACAAACACAGACGTGTCACCCTCCTCTTATATCGAAATTTAACCTCCATACCTTCTTTGACCCCCACCACCTCATAAAACCTCCCTCCCTCCAATCCGTCTGCCCTTCCCCTACCGATCCCCCCTCCACCCACCTTATTCCCCTTAATCTCATCTCCATCCCTCCCCTCCCCATCTCTTCTCACCCCCCATCTCCCATCCACCCTTTCGCTCGCACCACCCACGCCCCCTCCATCTCCCTCC